GGCTTTTCTTACCTGACTTATGTCATTATAAATCAGTCTGAAAAGTCATATAATCATTGCCGAATCGCTTTTTTTCCTTCCTAAAACTTCAAAACATTTTTTGCTTACAATTGTGGTACCTGTCTGTGATATCATGATTACTTGAGAAAGGATAAAAATTTGAAAATATTTTTTTTAAATTGAAAATCTGGAATCACGAAGATTTTATAAATGGATTTCGCCGACAGAAACTCAAAATCAGAATAACATTATTTGTCCTTCATAATGAAAGTCTTGATATGAGTTGAAAAAATTCATCAAACAGAATCGGTTGAACCAAATGCATAAAACTGATTGAAAGTAATTTAATGAAAACTTTGAAAAACTCAGATGGATATATATCAGGTACAAATCTGTTTATTAAATCACGTTATTTATCGGACAAAACGTGCACTTCATTCATGTGCTGACAAGCTCCAAACTTTTGAAAAAGTAAACTACGATTTCACAGGATTACTGGGCTACTGCTACTATAGTGCACATTAAAAGGTGTATCAGTACACTTGACATGGAACAAATTCACAGTTCTTGGCTTTTTAGGTACAATTTTGGTCTACAGGTACTGTACCGACTGCAATGGTCTTAGGCTCAAGTTTGGTCAAGACTTGTTTTTTTAAATGAAAATACTTCGTTTTGAAAAAAAAATTATGTTGTCGTCATAATTGACGAATCTCAGAATTTGCTTGAGCTTTCAGCAATTTTTTTTAGTTGCATGTGTTGCCTGCTTGTTTTTGTAATTTGTGAGTTTACCATCCCTGAGTTTTCATGTTGTCCTCTTTTTTCTCAAAAGCTTTGTTCGGCCTTAATGGTGTTGCCTTATTTTTTACTTGTTCTAAATGACCATTTGAAAGAAAAAATAAATGTTACACATCGCCTTCGAAAGCACAACAAAAAACTTATAACTTTAGAATTTTTTATGTCACACTTTCTTCAGGACATTAGTTTTATTTGGGTCCAATGGCAGGTTATCCAAGTTTCGTTGGCATGATTGTTTAAATTTTTGATGATTATAATTTTCCAACCAACGTAATAGTAGTATTTTTAATGGCGTTGCTCTCGTTGTTGTTCGGTTTTTTCATCTGCGTTTTTGAAGAGCTATGTATATATGGTATCACAAGTGGTTCAAATCACGGCTTTGCCTTTTAGTAATTTTTACTAAAACTGTGTACTTAAAAAAGTTCTATTGATGAAAAATCCAATTATTTGGTCTTCGTAACATTTTTTGCTTACAATTGTGGTACCTGTCTGTGATATCATGATTACTTGAGAAAGGATAAAAATTTGAAAATATTTTTTTTAAATTGAAAATCTGGAATCACGAAGATTTTATAAATGGATTTCGCCGACAGAAACTCAAAATCAGAATAACATTATTTGTCCTTCATAATGAAAGTCTTGATATGAGTTGAAAAAATTCATCAAACAGAATCGGTTGAACCAAATGCATAAAACTGATTGAAAGTAATTTAATGAAAACTTTGAAAAACTCAGATGGATATATATCAGGTACAAATCTGTTTATTAAATCACGTTATTTATCGGACAAAACGTGCACTTCATTCATGTGCTGACAAGCTCCAAACTTTTGAAAAAGTAAACTACGATTTCACAGGATTACTGGGCTACTGCTACTATAGTGCACATTAAAAGGTGTATCAGTACACTTGACATGGAACAAATTCACAGTTCTTGGCTTTTTAGGTACAATTTTGGTCTACAGGTACTGTACCGACTGCAATGGTCTTAGGCTCAAGTTTGGTCAAGACTTGTTTTTTTAAATGAAAATACTTCGTTTTGAAAAAAAAATTATGTTGTCGTCATAATTGACGAATCTCAGAATTTGCTTGAGCTTTCAGCAATTTTTTTTAGTTGCATGTGTTGCCTGCTTGTTTTTGTAATTTGTGAGTTTACCATCCCTGAGTTTTCATGTTGTCCTCTTTTTTCTCAAAAGCTTTGTTCGGCCTTAATGGTGTTGCCTTATTTTTTACTTGTTCTAAATGACCATTTGAAAGAAAAAATAAATGTTACACATCGCCTTCGAAAGCACAACAAAAAACTTAAAACTTTAGAATTTTTTATGTCACACTTTCTTCAGGACATTAGTTTTATTTGGGTCCAATGGCAGGTTATCCAAGTTTCGTTGGCATGATTGTTTAAATTTTTGATGATTATAATTTTCCAACCAACGTAATAGTAGTATTTTTAATGGCGTTGCTCTCGTTGTTGTTCGGTTTTTTCATCTGCGTTTTTGAAGAACTATGTATATATGGTATCACAAGTGGTTCAAATCACGGCTTTGCCTTTTAATAACTTTTACTAAAACTGTGTACTTAAAAAAGTTCTATTGATGAAAAATCCAATTATTTGGTCTTCGTACTAAGATGAGAATTTTTTTTTCATTTCCTCTGAAAACAATTAAGCTTTAAGAAACTGCAGCATGCGTGGCGATTACTTTTCCTCTTACTATATTTTGAAATAAACTGCCATTTAGTTAAAACAAAACTGGCCAATACCAGAACAGTTTTTTTATAAAAATAATAATTTGATCATCGGTAACTTTCTTAGCACTGAAAATTTTCAAAGATGAAAAATCTGTTATTTTCTATTAAAATCAACACAAAACTTACCTTAAAAAATAGGTTCGCTTGAACTTCTTACTGGGATAAATTAGCTTGTTATTTTGTGACGTTTCTTACAATTTTACGAGCAAAAATTAAGCCATTTACATTTTTTGGTTTCAGCGTGTTTGATTAGTTCAGCTTTAAGTATTTATTAGTCTGCGAATTTTTTTGCCGACCCCCTGCGCGAATATATAAAGGCGTTTATTAATTGTTTTTCTTTACTTTTCGGCTCTAATCATCTGGAGCTTCTGAAAAAGATTTTTAAAAACTGCCGAATGAAGATGAAGGGGAGCTTGCATATTAGCTTTACTTGGATGCTGTTTACAAGTTTTCCACATAAAGTCTAACAATCGAAATCTTCAGCCTTCAATTCAAGATTTCAACTAACCAATTTAGTATTAATTCTAGCAAAAATTCTAGCTTCTTCTGAATGTTGATAATAAATTCAAATTTTTTGGCTCCTCGGACAAACTTGGCTTAGAGGTAACAACCTGCGAATGCAAAACTATAGGCTTCAATTCTTTTACGGACTATTTTTCAACCTGAAGATATTCGTTTTCTTATTGAAAAAGTTTTCGGCGTTTCGTTTGTCTGATTTCGCTTTGTCGACGTCTTTGCCACTCGCTAACTAATTCTGGAAAAAATATGACGAGGTTGATATTATTCAAACTAAACATCATTTGAGACAAAATAAAGAAAATTCTAACGTTTGAAAAGGTAATAACCGCAACTTAAACTAAAATGTTTGGAGACAAATTAGTAAAAATATATGCTTTTTAAAAGGTTTTTTAAAAAAATTTGTAATCTGAAAAAGTTCGACTTAGCGATTTTTGATTCAACTTTGAATGTTAGTTTGTCAACTTAAAATTGTGTAGTATTGCAAGTAGTGCGAAGCTTTGCTTCTCGTCTGTGTAATAGTTGAAATCAAAATTGCTCAACTGAAGATTAAAAACTTAATATCTTTCTCCTGTTACTATTTTACAAATGACTCTAATTAAGTTAATCACAAAATGATTATCAAAAATATTACTGGAAAACTATACTGTTTACCTCATCATCAATTTTTAATTGCTGGTCCTAATAAACAAAAAACTCAAATTTGAAAGTCACCTTTCGTTCTTCGAAAGCCAGAATCTAAAGCTACATTCATAAAACCTGTCCTCGTTTGATTTCGCTTGAAACTCTTATCTGGAGAAACTCGGTTCCTACTTTGTGGTTTTTATATTGATTTATGAGCAACGGTTAAACCAATAACTTTTTGCGTTTCCATTAATTTACAATATTTAGGATATATATTTCACAAGCTGCAAAAATTTCTTCCTTTCCGCAAATAAAAACTTAATTTTTTACTCAGTGATTGCAGCTTTGCAAATGAAAAAAAAAAACATTTCTTACGCTTCCGAAACAATCAAAAGGTTTGCATGTTATTCTCGCTGTAAATATTTTCTCCATTCTTTCGTTAATTTACAAAAATCTGCTAAGGTACAAGTGAAGTGAATCTTGCATATCTGCGTTGTTTGATAAAATAAAGTAAAGTTTGAAACAAGACTGCTCGTATCAGCGCTGAGCCCTGAATGTTCCGACAGCCTTTTAAGGTCTCTGGAGTAGTAATAACATGAAAAATTGAGTGTAATAAAAATATATTTTTTTGTGATTTGTTTTTGTTTTGTGAAACTCTTTCCCCCACACGCCATATAAAGTACAAAATTATAGATTTCGCTCCTAGTAAAAAAATCAATCATGGCACATAAGCTTCTTTCAACCAAATTGGAGTGATTTCTAAGACGGAACAGATCTCCGCTAACGCATTATTAGCGCGAATTATATCGACCGTTAATTGTCCTAAATTGGCCCAAATGGCAATCTTTAAACCCCCATAATTTCATAAAAAATGATCACAGGTAAAATGTCTTGTCAAAGTTAAGCTCAAGACAACAATAAATTTTGAATAATATAAAAAATTCCGTCAAAAATGGCTAGCTGAAAAGTAGAAAATTGTCTGAAGAAAAAAAACCATCCCGAGCACAAATATTCCGTTACCTTCGTTACAAAAGCCGAATCAATAAAGCAATAGAATCATTACTTCCATTTCCATTGGAATAAAAACTCAAAATAACCTTTTAAAAAATTTCTTTACATGTTGTGACACTCAAAAACTTCTATCTTGAGTTATTGTGTGAAAATTTAGAATGTTACCATGCAATATATCGAGTTTTTTATGAATCATCAAGCTATTTGTTCTTCGTATTAAAATAAGTAGCCTGAACTTAGAAACGGTAAATAATTATTGTGATAGAAATTCATTTTCAGAAATCGTGATTTACTATTTTGCTAGCATTTCAGATGGTTAAACTCTGGTTTGAGCGGTAAACAAAACATTTGATTGTCAACATCAAAAATACGAATCTCAGTAAATAACTTGCATTAACTTTGATCAAAAACCTCGATTGAAGTTTTCTTTTAACATGTCTCACAAAATACTAGAGCCACATAATGGATCCACTGGAACAAGGACTACAAAATACGGCCGTGTGGAACCGCAACAACCCTATCTTCCTAATTACGATGACGCTATAAGAGGTCTGAAAGTTTTTTTTTCGAGTGTTTCTTAGATGCCCAAAACTTCAGTACTATAGTTTGAACATTGCAAAAAATGGAGTACATTGGCAAAAGCGACCCAGGCTTTAATAATTAATCAAGCCATCTCCTTGAGCCTGTTGAGTTTTCTTTGAGGCACGGGTGAAAGACGGTTGAAAAGCGTACAGTCCGCTAAGTAGCAATTTCTTCTCCGCTGACGCAATGATCTGGTCGGAACAATCGCTTAAATTGATTATTTAACTTCGAAATCAGCGCTTGCTTTCAATCGAACAAAATGTGTTCGGGCCTGTTCTGCAGCTCAACTTTGTTACTATTTTCTGCCAAATCCATTTTTAGTTCAGCAACCAGAACATATGATCTGTGGAAATGTATATTAAGGTTACTCGGTACAGGCAAAAATGGGAGAATTAAAAAAAAAACTAATAGAGATCAAAACTTTTTGTTCAAACTGACCGGTTGATGCTTTAATAGATACAAACCCACAGCATAAGTGAAAACTGTAACAATCAAACACTTTAATATGAGTTTCTTCAGCAGTGTTTATTATAAACTAGGACTATGATTTGAATGGAATTAAATTTCCTTTTTGATAACGTTTTAATTGGGTAAGACTCCTCCACTATTTGTTTTGTAGTATTTCTAACTTTTGCTTTATATTTCTTTTTTCTTCTTCTTGAATTTAAAATCGGAGACTGTTGGTTTACTTGTTTGGGTATCTCCAAGTTTTTGGGTATGCCCCAATGCCTAATGTCAAGTGCGCTAAATTTCGAGTATCTTAAAAGTAACTGTATTTTTTGAACTTTCAAGCTTTTTCGTGGATAAGTTGTTTTCATATCGTATCGGCTTTTTTTGCTAATGATATTAAGTATCGGATATCCGTCCGGTCTTGATTTTAAAAAGATGAAATCATGCTCCAGTTAGTCTTCGTCTGTCCTAATTAGGGAAATTTGATACTGATAAAATGAATTTAGAGTCCATGCAAAAAACTTCAAAATTGATTATTCAGCTAATTCAGCTTCACTGTGATTTATTTGCTCTACTGAGTAGTGATCCTCGAAAACTCATCGTATCAGTCTTATCGAGATACTTGATATTTTAAGTTCATCAAAATTCAACTTTTTTGAATTTCTGCTGATGATTAACTGCTGATTGGATGCAGCCAAACTCCCCGTTGTGTCCTGGGAATTTAAATTAGACTAGTAGAGTTTTCTTTGCGCTAACATCTTGGTTGATTTTGAAACATTGCACTTATTATTAAAAAGACTAAGTCGTAAGCTTCGTCTAGTAAATTTTATTTGCTTTTATTGGAATGACACTGGAGTTTGAAATTGAAATATCATTGAAAAGAACAAAAAACCTTGATTGTCGAGGACAGACTATCCAATAAAAACAGCAAGTCGTGATTGTAGAAGAAAACTTTTTCTGTGAGTGATCACTTCATTAAATTTTAAGCAAGTAAAATTTGCTGGAGGAAGCGTACGACTTGGTCTTTTTATTAGTCTGTGCAATGTATCCAAAAACAGCCAGTCAGATTCCAGAGAGAGCCGATATCTTTCAAAAATCCTACTTGTCTCTCTAAATTGAATGACAACCTGTAGGATTATTTTCGACCCTTGGTATAGGGTTTATTTTCTACAATATCGAGCAAATTATGGTTTTCTTTTGCTCCAACTGTTTTATTAATGAAAAGTTATAAAGATAGAAAAGTCACAAAAATAAACTTTTACATTTGCAAGTTTTCTCACCAACAATTTGTTTCTGTTAGGGTGTAAGGTCAAGCACAAATGATCATTCTTATCTTTCACTCAACACTCAAGTAAATCTTAATGATTGCTCCGACCATGTGAAAAATACGGAGGATTTTTGGTATAGGGTGTCTTAGTTTTTTTCCACGCAAAATAAAGTGTCACGAGCAATCATCGGATTAAGTCTAACAAACTATCATATTAAAGCCCTTTCAGTTGTGATTCGAACGACATTATAACCATTTCAAAAAATCTCTATCTCGAGAAAAGTTTCGATCTAATAAGGTGAACATGCAGGCTTACAATAGCTTATTTATGTTTACTTTAAGCCGTAAAAACTTAACTTCAGTCTGGTAAAGTTAGTTTTTGGAGTTGTTCAGCGGCATTATTGGAATCAAAAAATTCTGTAAAAAGTTATCAATTTTTTTTTTGAAATTTGAGAAATTTTTTTTTGATTCTTTTTTCGTTTTCAGTCAATTTTCTACAAAAATATTTTTCAACTGGCCTATTTTACAATGATTATAGAATATGCTCAGGGTACTTTTTTTTTGCTCTGATCATTTAATCACACCGAGCAGAAGAATTGACATGAATTTCAAAAAAAAAGTTTTTTTTTCCTCCGAAAATGTTTCTTAAGACTACAATCGTTCTGTGCTACTTCTGTGCTAAGATTCTGTGCTACTTGCACGGTAACCGGCAACTTTGGTTGAACTTTGTCCTTACACAGACATCATTGAATCTAAAAATTGCCAAGCCAGTCTGCCAATCTGTTTTTGTTTCAAGATAAATGATTAAAGCGTGGCTTCTTCAATGATTTCAGTTTCTTCAAAAAAAAACCTGCGCCATGCATAAATGCGTAAGAATGTTAAGTTTTTAATCATTTAGGTTAATAGTCCTTGAAGGAGTTTTATACTTATCAAACCCATCATACAAACTTCGTTTCAAAAATATACAAAAAATGTTAAATTTTTGCGAAAAAAAACGAGCATGCAGCTAGAAAACAATTTCGTCTATCAGTATTTCTAGAGCAGATGTATTCCACCAGTCAGGCAAACTTCATTATTTATGTTATAAACACTATCTTCTTTGTTCCATTTTAAAAATTGATTGGGTTCAATTTTACAAAGCATAATTGCGTAGTTGTCTCCAATTGAAAAGACAAACATGCTGTTTTTCAAGATTTTCAGTTTAGCGAAAAATTTCTTTGTCATTTTTTCCCTTTTGTTTTACCTTTACGTTCCTGCATGGCCAGAAATTACAAAAACTATTCTTTCAGAAAAAGTGTTTCAACAAAAATCGTTTTTATTTCTTCTTGTTTTTACAATCGGAGGCTGTTGATTCATTTGTTTGGGTTTTTCCAAGTTTTGGAATTAATTTTTGGGAAAAATTGAAGCTCGTGCTTCCTTGCTCCTGATTCAGTCGTTCTTGCTGTTGGCTATCTCTATTTGAGGAAGTCTGTTGCAGAAGTTGTTGCTACTGCTGTAATGCACCTTGCTGAAAGGCTTTTTTTGCATATTTAATTATCCTCAACTGCTTCCCAATGCCAAATGTCAACTGCGCTTCAATTTCGAGTATCTTAAAAATAATCGTACTTTTTGAACTTTCAAGTTTCTTTCTTGAGAAAATGCTTACACAACATATCGGCTTTAGTTTTTAATGATATGGAGTATCAGATGTTGTCTGGTCTTGATTTTAGTTTGCCACATTTACTATTAGCTTCTGATACAGATTGTGATTTGAACCTTTTTACTCCTCACATTTCTCAAAATTTTGGAATATGTCCTTTTAGGATCCTGTACTTTGCGAGTTGAAATCATGCTCCAGCAAACTTCATATTTGATTTAATAAACACCACCCACTTTGTTTCAATAAACAAATTCACTTGATTGAGTGAATTCGGATTTACAAAGCATACATGCGTAGTTGTTTCTAATTGTTAAGACAAACATGCTGTTTTTCAAGGTTTTTAGCTTAGCGAACAGTTTCCTTGTCATTTTTTCATTTTTTTTTCTTTTCAAGTTCTTCCTTTGGCAGACAATACAAAAGTTGTTCGTTCAGAAAAATTTTCGCTAAATTTTTTTTTGTTTTTTTTTTTTCAAAAACGGACTGAAAACTAACTTTTGCTAATTTTATGAGGTAAAAAGTAAATTGAATTGCGTCTGAAATAAAATTTGAAAATTTGCACAGAAAAATTGTGTTCTTATATGCAATCTATGCAGATACAGATTTGTTTTCTGTAAAAACTAACCTTGAAAACCTACTCGACAATACACAGAAAAAGGTGCTAATCAAGAAGTCAGTACTTTGTTCTTTTGGAGCTATTTTAGTTGTTAAAATATCTAGCAAATGAGATAATGAGAAGAAAAGCAACCCAAATGTCATTGAACTAGTTTTTGGAACGTTTGTCTCAAGTAGTTCAGTCAAATGTTTTTTTCAAATACATTGATCGAGATTGAAAATGAGTCACTTCAATCCGAGATTTTAAAATTGTGCAACAACTACCGTTTTCTGAATTATTGAAAATGTGAGTCTATAAACTAAGTCTAAAAACTGCCTATAGCAAACCAAGAAGAAACACTCAGATCATATGGTAACAAGGCTGACAATTGCTGTTAAATGCTATGAACTGCTGATAATTGCCATCAACTTACTAAAACTGGTGTGCTAGTAGCACCAGATTTAGAAAACTTAACTCAGTCATTAATCGGTGCCAAAGCTGCTCACTTTTTTTGGGAACTACAAATTTATTTATTTTCGCTTTGCTGCAAAACAATCTGAATTTTCATTTTTCGCTTGCAATAAGTAGTTTACTAGGTTGTCTCTGATTTTTCATTGCTGAAAGCGGTAGTTACTGAACAAAACAAAAATGTTTACAAGCTGCAGTAACAGATATGCTTTTTCTGTTGACAAAATTGACGAAATATACTATAGTCACTAATTGACAACAACCAGGGTTCAATTTTCGATTTTCAATCGAAGTGGACGAATCAGGTGTCATTTTGCGACCAAAATGTATCACAAGGTCTAGGGTCAAAAGATGAATTCGAATAGGGTGGAAAAAAAGTCAAAATGGGTCCGAAGATAAATTCGAACGCGATTGAAACATCAAGTCGAACTGGGTCAAAACATGCAGCCGAACTGGGTCGAAGCATATAGCCGAACTGGGAATCTATATAATAATTCGGGATCTAATTTGGGAAAACTGAATCAAAGGTTTTTATTGAAAAATGCTAAATAAAAATCAATGCCAATTCAAAACTAAAAATCGATCACGTTTGTTTTGTGATTTGTGTCTTTATTATCTACGATAGCGGATTTTGCCTTCTTTTCAACGAAAGAAATGAACTGAACTTGAAAACAAATCAAACCATGAGCGTGAACATTTTAAATACTATTTTTAGACAAAAAAATCATGTCAACTTATATAATTATCTTCATTACGTTCATTGAAGCTTAAAGCATCATTTTACTAATCTGTAAAAAGATAATCCGCACTGATATTTGGTTACTAGCCAATCTATCAACCACTCAGCTGGTATTTCACTAAAATTCTGATGCAATTAATTTTCAGGTGGTGCTAGAGCCACTCGTGAGGAGAATATAGAGGCAGCTCACCACATTAACCGCCCTGCAGACTCCCAGTGCGAAATATCAAAGTGCTTAGATGTCTCACTCAGACATGGTTTTATAAGCAAGGTAAGCCCTCTGTCATTTTCCGTAGAAGAGCTCAGGTGATAATTTTATAAATGAAAACAATGTTGCAAAACAGTCTTTTTTATATGATCAAACCAATCATCAAACCAATGATGAAAACTTCATAAGAGTCTTTTGAATATGCAACAAGAACAGTCTTTCCGAAAGAGGATTTAATCTATTTGAAACATTCTCTAATATCTTTAAATTAGTTGATCATGCTTTCGACTTTTGATTATATATATATACAATTCGAAAATTCAGATCCGAATCAATTAAAAATTTCTGCAATTGCATCAAGAACTTAGAACGCGTTTGACAACACATCAGTGGTAACTTATTATGGCCTCTAGCGTTGAGATATGCGTTTTCAAGAATTAAAAAAAGGTGTTTTCTGTCATTTTCGAAGAAATTTGAAGAAGGCTCCTTGCAATCTTGAAGACACAAATAGTAATACTACATAGCTTAACATAACACGTAAGTTACCTGCTTAATAGTGTTTCGAGGAAATTTTGTTTAAAAAAACTCTGTTATTTTCTGAGCTAGTGTATTTATGAACAAAAATGTAAACTAGTTTTTTTGGCAGTAGTTTAGTTCATTTCTCACAGAATGTAACCTTGAATTCAGTTTTGTATCAGCACTATCTTACTCTGATGTTTTTTTAACAGAAACACTGCAAAAAAAAACATATTTCAAAGAACCAAGCTTTATGACACGCTTATTTTATCAGTTTAACCGAAAGTGAAATTTTTGTTTGGGCTTTTTTAAAATATTTTGCGCCGATGCAACGCCAGAGTGAAATCTTCACCGTCAGAGGAGCAGGAAAAATCCTCTCTTAATATTGTTTCTTTTTCTAGACTATCAAATGTAGTGTCTTTTTGGCTTAAAACTCGCCACTCAACTACTAAAGAACCAAAATCATTAAAGAATTGTCGTAGGCTTTGAAGTTTTTGACTGCTGGAGCCTTGAAATCTAAAGTTTTTAAAACGATCCTCTCAAAGTATTTTCCACCACTCTTGAATAGTACAAAAAACATCCAAAAAGTGAGATGTACTCTAATACTACAATGAAATGGAATGAATGAGCCTAAACAAGAAAAATCTTTTAGTTCCCTTTTTGTTCCGCCTTTCGTACTTTTTTTTATTTTTAAGCGAACTATTTATCATTCAAAATGTATTGCTGTCCTGAGCTTAAACTTGAAAAAATACTTTACCTGTGGTTCAGTAAATTTTTCGTAAAGTTATGGGTGTTCAACGATTGCCATTTTGCGCAGATTAATTGAAAACTGGCCTTGTTGGCTTAATGGTGTTCTCACAAACGATTCTAATTTGTATTTATAAATTTTTATAAATAACTTGGTAACTAGAAATCGTTTGGAAACAATTTATTATGATTATTATTATTATTATTATTATTATTATGATTATTATTATTATTATTATTATAATTCAGTCTTAGAAATCGTTCCAAATTGGTTGAAGGAAGCTTATATGTCATAATTGATTTGTTACTACGAGCGTAATTTATCCCTTTCTACTTTATATGGAGTTTAGGTTGATAGTTTTCACAAAAAAACTCAATTTGGAACAAAAAACAGTTTTTTTATTGCATTTAATTTTTTTCCTGTGATTACTGCTCCATAGATTTTAGAAAGCAGTCGGAACTTTCAGGGCTCTAATTTTGCTAAAGATAGAGGCTAAATGCCTGACAAATTGGCTCAAATCCGTGATACATCGGGATTCAGTTGCAGTAAAAATCAAGCTCACCCGCAAAGAGGATCCATGGATAATAACCGATGCTTGGTCTGTCAGCATAAAATTCTAAAATAAATCGATTAAAATGGATCAATAAGCGATTATAAAACAAACAAAGTAGAAAACAAAATAATCCATTTTTATCTAACTAAATGGATTATATTGGATTATAATAAATTTTTATTAGTAAGAGCCTAGATTTTCTTAAGCCTGGAAAACCAAATATTCAAAACTTGAATGTTGCAATTGCTAACTTGGGTTTTATTTTTGGCTACAGTAAAAAACTGTGTTATTTTCTAGTTGTATTTCTCTATTTGTCTCCCCTCCCCCTAAATACTTAATACTAACTCCCACCATTCTTACTTTCTTCACTTACCGCCACCTCCCTGCAAATTTGCAGAAAATTGGAAGAAAGATGAGGACTGTTATCCGGTATAATCCTTTATAATGGAATTTAAATTGATTATAATCGATTTTTTTTCTCTGGAAATAATAGATTATAATCAACTGAGTGGTCCGAAAGTGTAATTATAAATTATTTTAAAGCCAATATTTTGATCACAAAAATCGATTTTAATAGATTTTTATCCTTGAATTCTCACTGCGGGTATTGTATGAACTTTTTTGACAAAATTGGTCAGTTTCTTTTTAACAAATTAATCAGTTTCTATAGGTGTACGGAATCCTGAGCTTCCAACTGCTGGTGACTTTTGGAATCGTGTCTGTATTTGTATTTGTAAAGCCAGTGAAAGACTTCATCAATAGTGATCCTGAGGCGAACCCTAATAGACGCTATTTCATGCTGGGCATCGCATGGTGAGATACTAAACAGTACTAAATTTTTTTGTACTCACCGCCGGATTTAGGGGGGGGGGGGCTGCTTGGACGTTTTTTTTTTCCTCAAGGATTCGACCCCCTGCCGACCTAAAGGTCCCCCTTTGTACTTTTTTGAGATATCCCTTTTTGGCTGACCGATCCTAAAGTTGTTCTAAAAGCGCCTATTATACTAATTTTGAGGAGGAGCGCGCGCCAAAAAAATGCAATTTTTCGGTCAAAGTTTTTCAAACAGTGCCTAAAAATGCCTTTTTGTTCCTGTTTGTTTTTTTTTCAAAAAATTGCCTGCGGCGCAAAAAATTTGGTCGCAATGGGTTCTTCATCGTGATTTAGGAGAGCTCAGCAAATCAATTTGGTCGTACAAAAAAAACCGACAAAATTTTTTTCAACATTTTTTTTGAAAATCCCCTCCCCCTCGAGAAAATCCTAGACCCGCCCCTGCTAATACTGCACAATTTTTTTTGTCGGGGCATTCTCTTTTGAATGCAAGTATGTGTCTATCGCAGTTTTTCTCTTTTTTTTAGTGCGGTGTTCTTGGCGGTGGTAGTTGTGATCTATTTCTGCAAAACTGCGAGACGAAGGGTCCCCTACAACTACATATTCCTTGCCATACTCGTACGCATTGCTATAACTTTCATCAACAGCCAACATAATTTTTATTATTTTTTTAAGTCAAACAAAACTAATACTCAAAAAATATCGCGCTTTTTTTGAGAGAGGAGACAAACTGTCATAGAAAACAGCGATAATTATTTTTATATAGACTTAGTCACGGTCTAGGACCGTGACTAAGTCTATATTTTTGCGATTAAATTTTGGCATGTCCACACTTTTGCGACCCAGAAAAATTCGTCGCTACTTTTGCGATTGAGGCGATATGGCGCAACCAGACTCTCGCGACCAAGCATTAGATTCAAACACGCTGCCCGTCTATGTAATTTGGGGCTGGATCTAGATGCGGCGCGTCTTTCATCTAGGACCCCGATCCGACAAGTTATCTTATACGAGGTAAGACTTTGGATTATTTCAGTCCATTGCTAGTGGATGCATGGTGGGCGTGGTTGCCAGGCATGAAAGCACAATAAAACACAAACTGTTTCGTGGTATCAAAGTTTGGAAACAAATGAAAGTTCAAAGCATTCTGTGATTCAAGTATTTTCGACAACTCGTACAAAACTGAATTTTACCTCACTTGCATGAAAGTTTTATGCGAGGAAAATTTATTCACGTGAGTCGTTCACAAGATCCAAATCTTGCACAAGGAGTTTTAACCTGATTTCAAACTCAATTTGCAAATCATTTGCTCAGCAAAAATTCAAGTGTCATCATAAAGCTGATATCTCTATATTTTTTGTGAAACAAAGAAGAAAATCTTTAAGTTTTAAATGTTTGTGCAGCATAGTGGGGGAGGTGGTGGTGGCTGAGGCCACGGCCTGTCTAGTTGTCATCTGTTTCTGCATGACCCTCTTCGGCTGCCAGACCAAGATAGCACTGGGCCCTGTCTTCATCGTCGTCTTCTCACTTTGCATGGCCATACTCAGTCTGGCCATCATGTCCATTTGGACATACAACAATGTGAGCACTATACAAAGAATACACAAAAATCTGATTCTTTTTGAAGCCTTAATTTCATTATTTTGTATGAAAACTTGTTAAACTCAAAGAAAAAAAAATGAAACAAGAAAATGGTTGAGATTTCAAAACCCAGACACATACAAAGATTTATATTAGATAATATTTTCAACTCAAACAAACCAATCCTTCGGCTTCTTTGCTACAAAAACCTAGCCGTTAAAGAGCTGAAAATGTTTCTGTGTAATCATATTGGACTTGAGTTGCGTGTAATTTAGACTTGATTATCCATTTGGATGTGAGTCGTTTCAGATACTGCCCACTGTATTTGCGTCCATCGGTGTCGCTGCTGTTTCCCTGGTGAGTGGTTTTACTTGAGAAGTGACGTCAATATCAAATTGATTTTACAAGCTCCCATAAAACCCTATAAATACTCATTTTGGCAAACAACCCTGCTAGGCCAGATGCAAAAAAGGCCAAAAGCTATTTTGAGATATCTATTTTTGGGAGACCTCAGAAAAACTATTTGAATTTGGTTGACCTAAAAAAAAGGTCCCCCTTTTTTAAATCCCCCTTCGATAAAATCCTAGATCCGCCCCTGGTTGATAATATAAACCCTTAAGGAAAACTCTATAAATATTTTGACGACTTGCTATGATTGAGTTTTTTCTATACAAGAAAAGAGAGAAGACTACCGACTACCCCGCTGAAGAAAAATGAATTTGCTAGCGAAGTTGGCCAATTACAGTCTTTAAATATTAAAAATAAATAAATTTGGATATTTTTATCATGAATAATTCTTTGCGGCTGTTTGTGTGGCTGTAGATTCTGCTGGCGAGCACTTGGCTGATCCTCAACTGGTCTCGCCATCACGTCATGATGGAGGAGTATGTATTCTGCGCACTCATGCTCTACATAGATATCGTCTTCTTATTCATCTTCCTCCTCTTGCTTCTCAAATCTGACAGGAACTAACTCTGCTCACTGTCACTGCCATTTGGAACAAATCAAACAAGGACTCTAAGCCAGATCAAAACGGAAAAACAGTCATCATCATCATCATGGGAATGTTTGAATTCGAATTTGAAACACGAAGTCGATGCACGTCATAATAATTACAGATTTTTGATCACAAAATATGAAATATCTAGCTTGAGATATCTATGAGAAGAATATATGTTGGCTTAGACCAGTTTCAAAAGTTTATTGGTCGAAAACAAAAAAAAATATGTGAATCAGAACTCTTTCAATCGGACTTCATCGTATCAGAAATTGCTCAAAAAATATCAAGTGCTTACCTACATAAGCATCTTTTATGTTAGAGAAATTGCTCAATTTTCCCAAAGTTTTCACAGTTTTTTCGTTTTCATATTGTGATGCAACAAATGCGTAATAAAAAATTGTGTGCCTTTTTAACCGCTTGCTTTGAACCAGTCAGCCTAAACAAATGACTTTGGTTTTGAGTTGGATTTGAAAAAATCATGTTTTTGAACAACTTGCCTAAACGTTATCATAAGCTAAACAAATTAGCGTCAAGCAAAGAATACCCTGCCTCAACTCATAATGGAGCGGTTTATCAGCGGATAAACAGATGCTCACAAGTTAATACCACAAATAAACTCGAGCCTTTTTGCCGCAAAGTTTCCAAATTTGCACCTTTCAAGCCCCCATCATTTTTCAGAAAAATATTCACAGGCAAATTATTTTTCAAGTTCACAGCATCACTGGTTTTCACATGGAGTACAGAATTGAGAAAAATGGTTGGTAATCAATCGGTGATTGCTAAAAATGTTTAATTTTGAGACGATTCAAGCTCCTAAGGCGAAAGAAAAACAAAAGTAAATTGCACGAATGCATGCAAAGCGAATGTTCTCAGCCAAACTTTTCAAATTAAAAGACAAGAGTTAAAACTTGAAAAAAAAGTTTGTGTTTTTTATTTGAACTTTTTAACCACTAACCAATCCAAACATGAAAAATTTTAAGCAAAAAAAGTAAAAATTAAATATTTGCATAAGTTATAATTTATAACTTATGCAAATATTTATTTTTTACTTTTTTTCTGCTGAAAAATTTTTCATGTTTGGATTGGTTTGAACCGGGCTTGGTTATAACTCATCAAGAAACTTTCTACGTAGTTAAGTGAATGCAAATCTTAAAGAGCCTGGCAAAATCTTGCATTCTTGAAAGTAGCTTGCATTCCTCAAACAGACAAATGTATTATAAAAACCATAGCATTACAGAGGTTTCTGTTGATTCAGTTTTTCGAGGCAGCTATAAAAACTTAACAATTAATTTTAGTAAAAACTTTAAGTAAATAAAAGAATACAATTGGGAACTAAAAACGTTCAGAGTTCTCGCAGCATTCGAGCAAATTTTTCATTCCTTCCCAAGAATCTAGCAAGATTGGCATTTCAAATAAACTAGGGAATCTTTAAACTCCCATATTTTTACCGAAATGATCTCATGTGAATTATCGTTTTGAATTTGAGACCAGGAAAACAATACTTTTTGGCTCATCTTAAAAGTTCCGTGAAAGTTTACCGTCAACTTGTTAAATCAGTTTTCCAAAATTTTCAACAAAGGAATCATGAAAAAATAAAGCTGAAGAGAAGCAATAAATTCGAAGTTTCAACTTTTTTGTTTCTTTTCAGACCGTTTTTTCATAATTCCGTTGGTTCGAAATTTGAATAAACTGATTTAACAACCCTGTTGAACAATCCTGTGAGAGCTTTGAATTTTGTTCGTATTATTTGAGATTTTCCTCCTTCTAGATTTCTAAATTTCTAGATTTTTAAATTTACTGCCTTCATGAATCCGAGTGGTTAGCTTGCTGGTTTTTGACAGGTTCTTTGTACATCTATACGATGATTTTTGATATCACGACCGACAATAAAGAGAGTTTCTTAAGAGATTTTTTGTTTGGCATCAATGGTTCAAGTAAACACTATCGCTCAAGGAGGTTTCGGCCAAAACTGCTTTGCGGGAAACTTACACTATGATTGGAAGTTTTATTACATAGTGAGTTAACGGCGGTTGAAAAATGATTGTTCGAGGAAAGATAGCTAATCAGAAATCTAGTTAAGTTTGTTGCCTTAAAGTTCAAGTTTGCGTCACTATCGTATCCTCTGCCTTCGTTCGCATTTTTGTTCAGACATCCGTCTCCGATACAATCTTCACTCTAAAATTTATTGTTCGTTGATTAGTCTTGTTTGATTTTCCCCAATCTAAGTTAAATCAATCTATCAGATATCCCCTATGTCTACTTGATTTTTATATATTAAGGAATGAAATATTTTTAAGCAAAGTTTTACGCAATACTTAGCCTAATTTTCAGCGCCTGAGCTCCAATTTTACTGCGTAAAAACTTGATGGGATAAAATTTTTTACATATTGACGAGTTCATCTCCGTTGGAATATGCTATCTCGTTTCAACAAAAACATATACGTAATTTGTTCTAATTCATCAGAGAGTAAATAAAAAGAATTGCAATGAGCATTTCGTAAGCTGAAAAAACGTTGTTTAGAATCTTCATTGCTTGGGCAGAGTCGCAGTGTGTTTTGAAAAATGAACCTATAGTTTTGTTTATGTAAAATGAACATTATTGTTCCGACTTTTGATATGAAAGTAACGGAATATTTGTGCTCGGGGTGGGTTTTTTTTCTTCAGACAAATTTCGACTTTTTAACTAGCCATTTTTGACGGATTTTTTTAAAAATATCATTCGAAAGCTATGTTGTCCTGACCTTAAATTTGAAACGATATTTCATCTGTGATCATTTCTCGTAAATTTATGAGGGTTTAAAGATTGCCATTTTGGCCATTTTGATCAATTTGGGACAATTAACGCGCGATATAATTGGCGCTATTAACGCGTAAGCAGAGATTTAATCCATCTTAGAAATCGTTCCAAATTGGTTGAAGGAAACTTATTTGCCATAATAGATTTGTTACAAGGAGCAAAATTTTTTTTGTACTTTATATGGCGTGTGGGGGGATGATTTTCATTTAAAAAAATTCAAATTTTAGAAAAAATAATTTTTCATTTTGTTTTATTACATTTAACTGTTTTATGTCGTTTATGTTGTTACTGCTCCATAAACGTTAAAAGGCAAACGGAGCTTTCCGGGCTTCGCCCTGATACGAGCAGTCTTGTTGAATTTTGTTATCGAAGCGCTTCCATAAGCTAGAAATCCATTTTGATAATTGAGTTTCTATATGCGTTATAAACCTAAACTAATTGTTTTTTACACAAAAAAAATTTGAAAATTGGCTTATTTTTTCTATTAAGCTATTTTAAAATTAAATTTTTTCGAAAAAAAACACCAAGATGTTAAGAAAACCTTTTTGCCTGATTAGCGGAGCTTCCTGTTTTTTCTAGCAAAAATTCACTGATAGTTCACTTTGACAAATAACATTTATGTGAAATTACATTGATAACTCAGCGTTTTTAGATTTTGGCAAAATGCGCCCATCAATTAACCCTTAGAATTATCATCTATCTTTTGGAACCAATTCTCCAGGTAAGGCTTTACTAAATCAAAAAACTTACCAGAAAACCCATATAGCCAAAAGAACACTATGAGTTTATTGTAACAGATGCTGTTTTTAAATATATGAAACACACTTGACTAGCCAAAATTTTATTATATGAAACTATCAAAATCCAAAGAAAATTGCTGGTCATACTATTTTCATTGAGGGAAATTGTAGTACGATAAGAACATTTTTGTCCACAAAATTTAAACGTTGATGACCAATAAAATCTCATTCTTTTTAGTGCAGATGTGAGCTCATTTAAATTCATCTAGAAACCTCTTTTATAAAGGTTTCTGATCAAACAATTTTATATGGAAAACATGTTTATCACACACTTTCCATTAATGGAGTAAGCATTATAAGCATTGTTTCCATAAAAAAATTTCGATGACCAATATCTTTGCATTCAATTAAAATGAGATGTAGAATAAAACTTACTTAAAAACTCTTTTGGAGAAATTTTTGAAAAAAAAACTACTGAAAAAATGCGTATCATACAATTTCATAATTGAGAAATATATGATGAGCATTTTGCCTTAGCACCCATGTATGGAATTGCATGGCAAGCTTTTTGTAGGGAACAGTAAAAAAGACTTTTTTTGCATGGATGTCAGCCCAGGATGTCAGCCCAGGTATACGCGATATTTTGAAGTTTTAAATTTTAAAATTTTATAGCTCATTTTGCTGATATACTGTGGGTTAATTTATCACCATGGCTAGTTGAAGAAATCAATTAATGTACCTGAAAAACTTAAGTTATATATATATATATATATATATATATATATATAAAACCGATCCGCACGAATGAAATTCATTTTTTATCTGGAAAAAAATGTGATGTCTTGTCACTCTTTGGTTCATCTGAACGCAAAGTTTACCACGAAACAAAATTCCATAGAGATCCCTTCAAGTTGGTTGAAAAAAACCCGCGGTAGGTGAAAAATAACTCTTCTATGTAAATCATGAAACCAAAGCAGTGTGCCGAAATTTTGGTGGTCAAAAAAACTTTAAAATGTGCATCATGAAACAGCTATAACCAAGAAGAAATGAAAAAAAAAAACGCTTTTAATTTGAATTGATTTGAAAACTGGTAAAACAATTTTCCCATTTTTCACGTAAGCTAACGTCTACAAAAAGCGTAAAATATAAACAATTCAAGCGGAAGGTCAAAAATAAACTGTGCGAACAAAAAGGATTATAAACAATTATAATCGATAATAATGGATTTTTCTGCAAAACAAGTAAATTAGAAATTCGGATTAAAAAAATCGATTGTGAGAATGGTACTAAAATCATATTATAATTGATCATTAACGCTTGAAATTGAATGCGGACGGTTTTCCAAACGTAAAAGTGAAAATTCGCCGTGACCTGCAGATTCAGTAACTGATTCGTTTTCAAATCTTAAGTCTTTGGTCTCCAAAAAGAAGGCT